AGAAAATCAACATATAAATGAAAATATTATAGTGGAACTACAAAAACAGTAATAAAATGTGAGTATGTAGTTGAGAGAGGGAGTGTGCTTGTCTACCTTAGTTTTACCATTGACTCTGGCATGGTTCTGCAGCAGGAAGGTTGTCATCTTTGCATTGCCATAATGGCAAGCCACATGCAGCGGTGTGTAACCCATCTGCATGGATTAAATTCAATGGAGGAAGAGACACAAAACAAGGAGGAAAAGATAGTTACATATCTTGACTGGTGGCCTCCTCCTGTCATCACATTTGCATCACAGTTTCTGAAAAGCTGGCTGTTATTTTGGCTAAGTGCATTTGGTAAAAATTATACAATTACTGTGCCTCTACTTCTTTTCCAAATGTAAATATAACATCAAAAGTGCAACATATTTCATGTCCCTGTGGAGTAATGTGTAGAGTACATAAAGGTTTGTCTAAGTGAATGTGAGCAGCCTGTTGTGAGAAAAATGAATGGAAGCAAGTGACTGATTTTGACTGAACATTAGAGCTTGTGTGTGCTCATGTGCATGTGTGTGCCTGCTCCAGTTTGTGGTATATCCATAAAGACATGAACACCTTCTACTCAGGTATCAATCCTTTATTTATGTAGCACCTGAGATCACTGTGGACAAATCCAAAAGCGGATTCTCCAGAGTGTGTGTGTGTGTGTATTCTTCCAAAGCCTTAAATACACAGAGACTACACAGAAAAAACACAAAGCAAAGTCGATGCAATTAAATAAAAGGTTATGCATCAAACCCCAACTGTAAGAAGACACTTAAAGACTCTTATCTCCGTTACAGTGTGTGTGTACACTATCAGAGAAAGCTTTACCCTGGTTTGTGTGTTGACATCAGCCTCATGGTTGAGAAGGACTTCTGCAACATTGACCTTGTCCTCCTGAGCTGCTAAGTGGAGTGGTGTAAGTCCGCTCTATATTAAAGGACACACACAAACATGTAAAGACACCCTTAAATTTGTTATGGTGGGAGCAGATCACAAGACTGAAATACGTTATTTCTCATAAGAAGCAAGATGCTGGAAATCAGCTTGAAAATCCTCAAAAGACCTTTGATTTTTCTACTTGTTGAGAGTGACCAGGTAAAACTTAGTATGAGAAGTGTTCATTAAGTGCATGAGTAAAGCTGGTCTACAGCTGTGTGAACATCTACGCAGCTGATTTCACCTTGTTGCACATGTTGACGTTAGCGTTCTTGGCCAGCAGCAGTGACACCAGATCCACACTGCCCTCCTGCGCTGCCAGGTGAATGGGGCTGATGCCTTGCCGCGTCACTGCGTTGGTGTCTGCGCCGTACTCCAGCAGCGTGGTCCCAATGTCCATTTGGTTCTTTTTGGCAGCAATGTGAAGTGGCGTGTAGCCATTCTGAGGAAGGCAAAAGAAATCCAGGAATTAAGAGGTTGGGTTTCGCTCTTCTTTGTATTTGATAGTGAGTGTAATAGATTGTTCTACTGTGGCTTGCTGGTTATGCTCAGGGAAGGTTTACATTAAGTGTCTTCTTCTATAATGTTTTTCATTCCATTCTAAATCAAAATGGAATTCATATCATACATTACATACTGTACAAAGCTGTAGAAGGAACAGTCTAGTTAGACCAGGCTGTCATTTTTATTATAGCCAGTAAATCTGATATAACAGACAGAAAATGATGCACTCATCGCTGTAGGCTGGAGGAACCCAAACCTCAAAATGGCAAGTAAAACTTGTGCCAAAAAAAAAAACTAAAAAGGTTCCATAGTTAAATAGATACACTTCTGCATTACTGAAACCACATGAGTAATTCAGAATAATAAACTGTTGGGCTAAAATGTGGCAATGTCAGTATATAACAGGAATTTACAGAGCAGAAAGAAGTCATGAAAGAGATGTGACTAAAAATGTCCACATTAAACATGTTGCATCACAATTTATAATCCATTTAGTCATGACAGCAACTATCAGTCAGTCGCTATCAGTTTGTAGATTAGATACCATGTATAATTAATAACAATGAAATAAGTAACGTAAAAATAATGGACTACTGATTTACAGTTGATCATTAGACTAGGGTGTTCAAAATATTGTGGCCACCCTGCAATAAATACTGCTTAAAATTCAAAGTATAAAAAAGTAAAAATTACACTTTATTAACATGGTCAAGGATAATAACATGTTCATCACTGGCCCTCCTCACAGAGCTTGTGAATGAACATCTGACACCTCAGCCAAAAGGATCCCCTCACATGGCTGAGTACACACACAGCAGTAAAAAAGCAGTAGACAGCGAGAACGGACAGGGGATCAGCTGAAAAGGAGAGAAGTCACCATTCTGACATTTGTCATTTTGGTCACCAAGGAAAGGATCTGTGAGACAGCAGTGAACTAAAAACAGCCTTTAGATACAGTTCCCTGTTAGGAACTCCCATAGTAGTGCAAGCTGCGCCTGGGCTTTATTCAACTTCCTGGACAGCCCTGAGATCTGCACAGGGGCGGGGTGATTTCAGTTTAAATGAGAGTGAGTAAAAGGATGGCGTCAGTGTGGAAAAGATAAGAGTCACTTCTATTTCTTGGGTCTTGGTGTTTCCAGTTACTGTGTTTAGTGAAATTTAGGTCTAAAAAATACTGAAGTCACACATTATTTCCAAATTGTTCTCCTCCTTTTAATGAAATCTGATTTCATTTCTTGGTTTCTTTATGGTGAGATTTATTTAAGGAGTCAAAATGGCAATTTCACATCCTCCTGTCTGAATAGTAACAGTATATGATGCAAGCATTATGTTGTCTGTGATTATTCACTGCTCCCATTTGTATGTGCAAGTGCTTCTACACAACTCCTCTAGTATACACAGATGGATTCCTTTCCAAATAAAGAAAAAATTAAAGGAATAAATAGACACAAATCCCATGATACAAAGGGATGACTACATGCTAAAACAAATTAGCCTTATAAGCTTTGGCCTGCTCTTGCCAGATGTTTGTCTAGAATGTGAGCTGGCAGCCAAAAACAGGCATTTCCTGCCATATGTGTGGATGACAGTTCTGCCATCTATAGTGGTTCTGTGGTTTTGACAGATTACCAAAGTCTAGCAGGAGACAAACTGTAACTTGACTTGTAAGTGACCATATGTATTTGATTGACAGAGATTTCAACAAGAGCAACAATTAAAGTTTTTTTTTTCGTTTAACCCATCACCAGTCCATTCCCATTTGCTCTCCAGTTTTGTTTTATAAGAAATATGAAACATGATAGCATTCTGTAAGCCACCAAGTCCAATACACTGACAGTGTGAATTCAATTCTGGCTAGTTGAGTGATTTCAAAGAAAAAGACGCATGTTCATTCATAACATCAAAGTCTCGACAATATGGAATGGGAGAAAACAGATGTGTACTAGACTTTCATATGTAAAGATGTACATTACATAAAAAACGCTATTAATGGTCTGAGATGGTACTGAGAGCATAATCCAAGTGAATTCATTAATATGTGTGTTTATGTGTGTTTGTGTTGATACCTTGGCGGCTGCATGTGGGGAAGCGCCCTGATCCAGCAGCAGCAGTGCCACTCTCTGATTATCGTAGTGAGCAGCTACATGCAGTGGAGTTAGCCCACTCTAAATCACCAGCACACACAAACGAAGAAATCCACCCCCCCCACACACACACATACACACACACAGTCATGCAACACAACACAAGTTAGAAGATCACTGAACCTACAGAAGCACAAACACACTGATAGGTAAAATGAGAGAACCAAACCCAAAGACTGTAAAAACATGAAGGAAGATGTACATCGAGCTGATGAAAGATAGTTAGTACAGGACACAGTTTAGAGCGGGGGTTTTCAACCAGTGGGCCGTGGTCAGCAAAGGCCACATGGTCCCTGACCATGTGTTCAATAATATAGTTTCACTATGGGCAACACAATTTTTTAAAATTTTTATTTGGTAAACACATTTCCATGTGTGTAATTAAACAAGTAGCCTAATTATTGTTTGTGAGTAATCAAATTCATGCAAATATATAAAATTTTGAAAAGTCGATGTAACTTTCAGGATTAAAATAGTGTCAGTTTGGTCTATCAACCCCACAGCAGTAGTTCTCAGGTTGCTTCTTAGACAGAACAGTGGCCCCCAGGTCACAATGAGTTGAAAACCCCTGGTTTAGAGCACTGACTTCATGCTGGAGTCTAAAAGAAGGAACTAGGCAAGAGGACGTTAACATTAACAACAACAAAAAAAAAAACATAAGCATGTCCTCACTGTCCTGTGAAATCAATCTCCAGCTTTCTTCAGATTTTCTTCATTCTACACATTATCCTTCCCGTCAAAATCTGGTACCTACATTACCCAAAATGACCTCTGATACGTTGAGATATAAAATCAGTGGTGTTCCCCTTTCATTTTTTATTTTATCTGAAAAATTTCAAAAGCACCAAAACTGGAGATCCATAATTTTAACTGGACAGCAATGTGACAATGTTTTTTTTTTTTTTAAAGTAGTAGTATTAAAATGCTATCAGCAGCAGAACCAACAGGATGTTTTTGTTATTAAGATGGTTTAAAGATCCCCTCCAGACATAATTTAAGACATAAAAAACTAACAAAAATGAGTTTTGTGACATCACACTTGATTTCCATACTAGTTGTGACACAAAATCCAGAGCAGATTAAGAAGGAGAGTGAGAACACCTTCACTGACTCTATGAGGACTTTTACAGTAACGGCAGATCATGGGAACACTGAATAGTTCCAAACGTTTGGAGCAGAACATTGACTTGGCTGCTATCTTCTAAAGTATGAAGTTTAAATTAATATCAATAATTATACTTGTGACATTTTTTAAACTTTAATCACTTTTATTGGCCAAGTATGTTACACACACAAGGAAGTTGTTGACAGAACCAACCATCTGCTGCGCCAACTCACACACACACCAGTGGTGGCACTGACCTGCCCATCAGGAACGACTTGGAGCTCAGTGTCTTGCTCAAGGACATTTTGATATATGGACTGGGGAGAACAGGAATCAAACCACCGATCTTCCAGTTAGGAATCGACCACTCTAAATTCTGAGCCACAGCTGCCCAAGTTTGCGACATGTGTCGACGTGTTTTAGAACTTTTTTTGACTGTCTCTCTCAAATATTGTCACTATAATAGATTAGGTACTTAGCTAGGTAGCTAAATTAGCTGAGCTATGTACAAAAATAGAACTCAGAATTAGTTATTGTAAGTAGTAATTTGCTGATAAATCCTGCTGTTCCCTACAGAAAACAATGAACCTGAATCTGCTGTTTGTAGCTACATGTGTCATGTCAGTTTTTGACCCCTCAGTGTCACAACTCTTCTATTTTAGGGGCTCTGACAAAATCAAGGTCATAGTTAGTCTTACACTCAGTTTTACGGTGAGCACAGAGAAACCTTCCCCCTTGAGCAGATAAATATAAAAACAGTAACAACCTGCACAAATATCCTCTGCAGAGTAAAGGTCAACCATCAAAATGAAGTGACTCATTTTTAAGAGCAGTTGGCCTTTGAATGTCATTTCTGCTTTATCTCTTTCTGTATTTCTTTTTCTCAGTGTAAACAGAAGTCAGAGTTATGCTTCTGAGCTACAACCAAGAATTTCATGCGCACAAAACACAACTTATATCACACTCAGTAAACAAAGACAGAGTCACAGGGATTCTCACAGAGCCACTGGAATGTCTCAGGTTATTCAACAAACACTTGAAATGACCCAAAATGTGTCTAAATTACATTCTGGTAATTCTTATTAGCCGTTTCAAAATGTTTTGTTCAGAATGTACAGAGACCACCCCTAAAGAAGATTAATGTAATGCCACTGCAATAAATGGCTGAAATCGCCTTGTGTTTAGACCCAGTATTATAACGGGACTGATTTTAACATGACACCACCAAGCAATGTGGAAGCGTGATTATCATACCTGACCACCATTATGTGAAATGCTGTCAGATGGTGGCACAGACATACATGCAACATGCTGTAATCACTGCCAGTAGTTTTGTGGTAAGTGTAACAGTGTGTGTGTGCATACAAATGCATTTTTACAAAGGTGCATGTGGAGGTGAAATGAATACATGCCATCAGGGGAATAAAAGCCAATCTGCCCAGAAGGATTTTTGCAACAACGACAAGCATCTGTTGGTTGTGTCATTCTGGGATCAGTCCCAAACCTGTCATTTCTCCATACAACTACCCCCACCACATCTGTGCCCAGCTGTAGCCTAGAAAATACAACTCCAACAAGGTTCTGTTTTACTCTTAGAGGCAGGTTGGATAAAGGCAGGCACCAGAAAGAGTATCTGAATGACTTTCTGATTTTTAAACATCACACCAGAAAAGTTAGCTGTCTAATCTGAAATTAAAACTCTTCACAACCCTTCAGGATACAGGGAAACGTTTTTCTGTATGTTTTGTTCTTTGTTATATAAAGTTATCTTGTTCAAGTGCTAACAATATTATTGGCTATTTGTAATACTTTTCTTGGTGCTTCACATTTATGATGACAGGAATTTTTAACCTTTAAATCTATTGCTCTGATCCTGACCTTCCTTGCTACTGTTTGCTTGCAGTGATGATGATGCCGAATACTGACCTAATATTCCTGGTGCAGAAGTGTCATCTCATGCCAAATATAGAGAGTCATTTCTATGTCAGGTGCCATCCATCTGACATCCCCATTAAATGTTGGTCAAGATTAAACATCGCTCTCTAAGGTTTGTTGTACACTAGGTCTTTCTTTTAAAAAAAAAAAAAAACATCTCACCTTTCCAGCAGCATCAGGCGCAGCCCTCTTCTGTAGAAGAAGACTGGCCACCTCCATCTTGCCATACTTTGCTGCCACATGGAGAGGACTGAACCCTTTCTGTTGAACACAAAACAGGACACAACATCAAGATGAAAGACAACGGAAAGTGGAGACAGTGGACATGGACAGGACAGAGAGGAATAGTATGGAGGGGTGTTCAAACAGGAAGTGAATATTTCTAGGTATTATTTCAGGCTTAGCTGAGCTGAGGTCAAACCTTTCTTCATAACATCATGGCACAGCAACCACTTCTAATTAAAAGCTTTTAAAAAATAAAAGATTTATAACAAAAAAATAATGGTCCCTATCAACCCATTCAAGGCACATTTAGTTCATACACATTTTTAAATTTGATTTTAAATGATCAGACATTCACTTAATTAACTACATGTGATACCCTTAAAAGCTAAGCTAAAGACACATATTTTTCACACATTCCACATATAATACTGTCTGTTTTATAATGTGTTATTCTTGGCTTACTTCCTGTGTGTATGTGAAGGTATTTAAAGACATTAGGTCATATTTTCCAGAGGGATGTGGGGCTCCCACAGATTCTTATTTCACGGTCTGAAACGCATGACCTCATTTCTTATGCACACTATAAGCAAATGATCATTTTATTTAACAGAGATAGGTTGCTGGAAACAAATGTTAGTTTTAAATTTTCTAAATGATGATACTTTAATTATATAGTTGTTAAACAAACATCACATGGTTCTCATCTGCTGTCTGTTCCCAGGTCAGTACAACATCATTTTCTTGAACAGATGTCTCAGGTGATGTCTCAGAAGATGCTGCGTGTGTGCGTGTGTGTGAGTGTGTGCGTGTGTGTGAGTGTGTGTGTGAGAGAGAGACAGGGAGTGAGTGAGAGGGTGAAACAGAGAGAGGCATTACGGAGTTTATCCTTCATTAATCAACTCCATTGACAGAGGTCACCTTCAGAGACAGCCCCCAGAAACATGCATCACATACATGGACAAACCTGTTCCACAAAGTTTACTTTACAGCTTTTGACTTTCATCTGTACACCCAGGCAGATGTACAACCACCAAAATAGACAAAAAAAAATTCCTGTGTTAAATAATTGTCTTAAAATACTGTGCCAACACTATCACTATTGCCAACCTATGAATGGCCTATAACACTATGAATGCTTTTGTTGTGCAGACAGAATATAGCAGCTGCACCAAAGTCTGTCTAATAAACATAAGGAAACAAGCGCCATGGAGGCTACTGGAAACAGAGACTAGTGCCCCCTAGTGAACATACATGGCACTGAAATTGATGAACTGTATTGTGATGCTGAGTTCTGAAGATGTGTTTGTCTGTTTGAGTGTATGTAATGTTATGTGGAAAAAAACAAACAAACTAAGAAATATTTAGCTCCTTTATGTTGTGCACTCATATAAAATCTTCCATCAGACCAACCTTGGTTGAGGAAGAGAGCAAGGCTCCGTTCTCCAGCAGCATGGCAGCAACATCTTGGTGTCCTTCACGGGCAGCAAGGTGAAGTGGGGTGTAGCCTGAGGTTGTGGCAGCGTTGGCAGAGGCGCCGCACTGCAGCAGCTGCTGGACGATGTCGACTTTCCCCAGCCGACTGGCGATGTGTAATGCTGTCTGGTCATCCTGTGGAGAAGGACAAAGTGATTTTTGGCCCAGTATTTTATCATTGTTTGATAAAACAAAACAGTCACAGCTTCTCCCCAAAACAGTCACAGCCTCAGCGCTCTAACCTTGGACTTGGTCTCCACCTTGGCTCCGTTCTTGAGCAGGTATCGGACTACATCCGCCTGGCCTGCCCTGGCTGCCATGTGGAGAGCAGTCTCGCCTCGCTGGAGGACACAAAAAGGTTGTCAGTGCTAGATTTTCATGTGCAGCAGTGTGGGGTTTAAACTCTGCACAGAAATACACTCTTGAGAAAACATTGTAATATGAAACAGTGCAATTATAAATGATCCACTCACTACGTTGGTGGTGTTGGGTGATGCTCCGTGGCGTGTAAGTGCATGGACAATATTTTCATGACCCATGAAGGCTGCCACATGGATGGGCGTCAGACCAGACTGAAAGTAAACAAATATGGTCATTACTATGAAGCATTACAATAACTGTCAAACCTTAGCAAAGCTGTAGAGTCACTCTCTGGATCTGGACTCTCTGACATCAAGTCCAGACAGTGACAGTTCACAACGTAGTAACAGTACAGCTCAGAATAGTTAAAAGTCAGTATAATTTAAAGAACCCACTTCTGACCAAGTGCTGAAAAGGCAGTCAGACAACAGAATAAATCGGGTCCAGTCTGGTGTACTACCTCAGTGACAGCCTGGATAGAAGCTCCATGTTTAAGCAACAGCTCCATCACTTTGACTCTGTTCTTCTTGCAGGCGATGTGAAGCGGAGTGAAACCATTCTGCACAAAGACAAAAAAGACAGACACAAAAGATGTCAATGTAAAGCCCACACCGCAGAGTCTCCACTGATATCCAGTAAGGGATGAACTCCCCAAAGCCACACAACAGCCGTGACAGTTATTCTTACTGCTGATTTTACTTTTTCAAATCATCATATCAGTGCAGCCACTCTCTAGCCTTACCAGTGCCTTGGCATTTGGGTTGGCCTTCTTGTCCACAATGAGCTTCGCTACCTTGTAGTGACCACAGTGGGCAGCAACGTGCAGCGCTGTTAGGTAGTCGTTGGTAACGTCGTCCACTGGCACATCGTGCTGGAGCAGGAGCTGGACACAGTTCAGGTGGTCCCCCTGAGTGGCCATGTGGAGTGGTGATAGGCCATTCTATAGTGGGGGGAGAGAGGGAAGGAAAGAGCCAGAGGGAGAGAAAAGCAGACAGAGAGACAAACACACAGACAGATGGACAGACAAACACATTAAGTTAGGGCATGGCCATGAGTGCACAGAAAGACTGTGAAGGAACTTGTTGAGACAGTTATGAGACATTGTTATAACAAGGCCATTAGAACAATGTTTATTTTGTTACACTGGTTGTCCTATGTGATCAAACTGTAGGGCTATGTATCGGAGGCAGGCTGTTCTGGAGAGGCCGCACAGATGCTATGGAGACAATGCAACAACACTACAGCAGCAAATACAAACCCGCTATCTGATTGGATAACAAATTTCAAATAGCTCAGTGGTTAGAAAAGTTTAGGCTAACAACTACATTACAGCATTATTAACAACATGAAGCCTGTTTAAAGTGAAGTGTGATCCAGTTTATTTTATAATTGAATAAAGCAGTGTTTCCTGAATTGATTGTCCCAGTAGATACCTTAGTCTTGGACAGGATCGGAGCTCCTCTGTCTAGTAGGATTTCTACCACCTGCTCGTGCCCACTCCTCGCCCCACAGTGAAGAGGTGTCAGACCATCCTGAAAATAATAGACAGCAAACGTGTGTTGATCAGTCATGAAAAAAAAGGTTCAATGCAGAAAAGGCAGTGAGCTTTCTTATACAATTACAAATAGAGTGGCTTACAACACTACTGCTTACTCAGTTTAGTTTCAAGCTCAGCATCATGCATTGAGCTGGATTTAAACCTGGATCCTTACGATTTAAAGTCTGTTACTCTACTGAGTGAGCCAAAGTTTGTGAGGAATATATAGTGTACATGTGACATGGGTGGTTTGGTTTCATAATTAGTGGATTATTGAATGAAACCACATAAGCCTAAATCTTACAAAATATAGTCTGGCTGAGAGTCTGACTTCACACTGCATGAAACTAGCCAAAGCAGGACATTTTTCTGATTAGGACACTATGCAAACTGGCAAATTGGTACCAATTTGTCATGTGTGTGGAGGACATAAAAATCTACCTGGTAAATTTCAGCTATTGATTTGTTTTATTTATAAAATCCAACACAATTAGTGTTGAAAATTAGGGCCCCACTTACTTCATTTGTGAACGTCTTAGCTTTCAGAGTAGTGCTGGTTTAACCATCTCACCTTGGTCTTTGCATCAATTTTGGCCCCTCTGTCCAGCAGCAGTTTGACCATGTTGCTGTTGCCCCTTTTTGCTGCCACATGAAGTGGTGTAATGTCATTCTGAATAAAAAAGAAGAAAGTGGTGTTGTGAGTCAGCTGTCAAATTAGATTTAGTGGTTTATTATTTGCATGAAAGGGAACACTTTAAAAGATCTATTAGAACACAAGTTGTGTTCTAATGCTTTTATTTCAGGTTGGTTAGCTCTAATATAAACAGGTATAAAGCAGCTCCAATGTAACTGACAGGGATGCCATTTGCAGTTCCTGTATAGTTAAGAGAAGAGACAGGATGATTCTTTTCTCTGCAGCTGGAAGTTTTTACATTGCATAAGGTACTTGACATTAGTGTCCCTATTGTCATAATTTGTTGATGGTGCTGTGACTCAACAGATGCAAAAAGGGGAAAAATGGAAAGTCTAACAATTCATTAAACTTTATGTGGGTGATTTTAAATGTTTTTTTTCTCGTGGGAGAAGCAGCATGTGCAGTCTGCAAAATGACACCCACTAATATTAATAATAGTTCTACCCACCTCCCACATTTTAGATTTGTGTTGTCACTGTAATTTGAAACCCTGAGGGTTTCGTAGTAAATGCAAACTGTAGAATGGGCTGATGTTCATTAAATGGGATTTCTTTGCAATGAGCCTATAAATGAAGGAGTGCAAGGAATACAATAAGACTTTTTCACAGAAGAGATTGAGGGACTACTCAATAATAAGTCATGGAAACCAACCACCACTATTTCAAGCTGTGTATGACAATTTTCTCAGCATATATGCCAGTGGGTGACAAAGTATAAACCAACTTAAAGTGCTTTTGTAAGGTGCTGAGATCTGGTGACTATGAAGGCCTTAACATGTGAGTCACATCAACACCCTCACTTGCCTTCCTTCTGTGTTGTTAATACCACTCCCAATCAGCAGAGGGCAGAATCAGCAGAAGTGTGGCCACGTTAATGTTGCCATAGTGAGCTGCGATGTGGAGGGGGGTGAAACCACTCTGAGGACCGGAGAGAGCCGAACAGCACATACATGCAAACAAATAAGGACACACATCATATTACAAACAGTGAAAGACACCAAACTTAAAATTCAGTAAAGACCTGGAGATTTCTAAGTTGATATACCATTGAACTCCATCAGACAACTCTACTATACACTGTTACACTAACACCGGGCTTTTCTTACAATAACAGAAAAAGTATTTTTTATTGAAACATTGAACATGGGTCAATGGCACGCTGACACTTAGAGGGGTTTTAGATTCACTATTCCAAGTGCTTTCATAACTCATAACAGTAATACACTGGGAGAAGTACACTTAAGTAAAAGTGAGTTTAATATACAACTTCATTTTGACAGAAATTATTTAGAAATAATTCCAGTAAAACTTGGTGTGCAAAACTGCCCTGCAAGTTGACCTAATGTCCATTTGTTAACATCTTCAGTGAGTCACTTCCTGTCCAAACCCCTGACGTAGTGAGCCACAGCTGTCGCAGCAGCAAAAGGACACTGGGATCAATCTGTCCAGTGAGTGAATGGGTCTTACGTTAAACTTTGTAATCGTTGAAATTCGAATGTCACATAACTGGTAATCAAGTGGGACGCAGGCTTTTCAGACATGTGTATCCACTTTATCTGTTGTCCCAAACCAAACACACAACAACAATGAGCAATTTATAAAGATATTTTACACTTCACAGTCATTACAAAAGTAACCAAGAATTTAAATTAACAATAAGTAAATAAATACATCATTTAATTTAAAAATCTGCTTGCTTGTACTACAATACATGAGTCTCAGACCAACAAAGGCATTTTTGGATGACTCATACCAGATAACTGGCCAGGCTGCCAAAGCTAGAGACAATGCCAGCCAACACAGGCACACACAGAAGGTGGCCGCCTGGCTTTGGTGTGAAGAATGGCTTCTTGCTGCCAGAGAAGCAGTGTCATGATAGTTTGTTGCTTTGGTCCCATGCAAAATGCTTTAGGTGCAGGGTTGAGGATTAGAAATATTATAAATCAATAAAGAGTCAGATAGTAAACTAATTACACTAGCTGTCTGTTGTTAGAAGGCTGGGTTCCTTTACAGCTTAATGGAGGTTTGGTTGCCATGCAGGTTATAGACAAACTGCTGCTTTTTAATAAATGATAACCACTTTTCATGCTAACGCTGGTTATCATGCTAATCAGTTTCATGGAAGGACTGTGTCGGGTCACATAGGACAACATTTTGTCAGTAGTCATAAAGAATTAGCCAGAAATAAGAACCAAAGTTTCCGTGTTGCACACCATGAAACCTTTAGAATCAAGGAAAGCCTTGATACCCAAGCCTCTAGTCTCATGATTGATTGGATCAGTACAGTAAAACATGCTCTACTCTGACTCTGTCTGTGACTAGAGATATCACTACATGAATGAAGCAATGAAAGAGGAAGACGAGACTGAGTTCAAATGGAAAGGGGATGTGATAAAGGGCTGCTGAAACACTACTGCATCAATTCAGGGGCAATTCAGGGGAAGTGTATTTTGTTTGGAGCTTTTATGAGCTGCAATGGAGAGACTACATAATGTATAGAGTAGAGGTGTACCTCTGTTGTTCTATTCACCATCATCTACAGAGTCAGCCGAGAAAGGAGAGAATGGGCAGTTAGAGAGCAAAAAAGAGAAAAGGAAACCCACTGACATGATATGGGGGAGCAGAGAGAAGGGAGAAAGAGCTCAGCACAAACTAATCTGTGGCAAAACATTCTGGACTGTTGTTATTTAAGACCTAAGCAAAGTAAATATGTCCATTATATACTTAATGTCCTGTTGAATAATGTAATTTGATATATACCAACTTGCACAAAAACAAAATGTACTTCTGCTTCTTTCCCCCTTTCAGCCTAAAAGAACATCAAAAACTATTTCAACCAAGAATAAAGGAGAGAAAAAAGCAACAAGAAACACAAATTGACAATAAAAAGGCATCGCTAATAAAAGGAACATTTAAACAACCAAAGAGATAAAAAACAAAGTAACTGAAAATCCACCACCAGAGACAGACTACGTCAGCATTGTCGCTCACCTTGGATTCGACATCTGCGTTGTGGTCATTCTGCAGGAGCAGGGCTGCGGCCTTGGTATCATCCTTGCGGGCAGCAATGTGCAGAGCAGGCAGGCGAACCTTGCCCTTTGTGTCGTTTTCCAGTAGCAGGGAGACCACCTGGTCATGGCCCTGCTGGAGGGCCACTGCCAAAGGGGTGAAGCCATCCTGCATTTGAGAGGAGAAAGGTGTCACTGATGTTTGACAAGAGCTGTAGTGCATTACTCATGATGGAACTAGGATGGGATGGTAGGTGTGACTACATGTCATTTGGCTGGATCATCATTTTGCCACAGGCACAAAGAACACAATGCAAAACCTCTGAGTACCATAAAACTTTAGAAGCAGGGCATAATGCAGGTGCCTGCAGACTGGGAACTAGATAAAACTTGATTTTGTTATGAATAAATGTCACTCAAAAAACTAAACTGGTGGGAACCACATTCTGTATACAGATACAAATCAGAGATTTCCTTATGATGGCAACTGTAGCTGAGCTCTGAATAAAAACAATTTAACCTGATTGCAACATTGTGAATTATAACTACATGCATTTCTGCATACTGTATGTCTGAATATGTGTGTGAGCAGAAGTATCTGTGTGTGCATATGTGTAAACATATTCTGTGTACTGAATACATGTCCTGAAGTCCTCTCCTGTTCTACTATGTAGCCCATAGATATAAACCAGTAGATAGGCTTGGTTATTCCATCAGCCCAATCAGCTAATGTATGTGCAAATGTTTGGTGACTGGTCATTGTGTGTACAGGTTCCACAGTGCTGAGCAATGCAAATCAGAGCAGTAACAGCAGCAGCAGCCGTGGAGAAGAGGCAGTGAGCGTAGCAGACCTCATCTGTGACCCACTCAAGGTCACTTCGCCTCCACCACCATACACTACCAATCAGTGATGCTCTGCTTAGTCCCTCATGAAGAGATGGGGAGGAAGGGAGGGAAGGAGGGAGAAGAGGTGAAGAGGGCACAGTCAGAAGAGCAGAAGGAAAAAGAGAAGTAGACAGTGAGTAGACAGTGAGAATATGATACAGAAAGGATGAGAAAAAAGAGGCAGGGAGGTAAAATACAGACAGAGACAGAGATGAAGAAACAGATACAGGCAGATAAGTGGGGTCGGGATGATAAAAGGAGGAAGGGAGGAAACAGAGGAGGAGAGGAGATGAAGGTAGTTAGTACAACAGGTGTAGAGACCACATGACTGAGGCAGAGAAAATGCATGGACACAAAACACTACAACTGTTGAGAGGTAGACTGGCACACATTCACGTTTGAGCACATGCATACACACAACAACAAATGCACATGCATGTACTGTACCTCAGTGGCCATACTCTGGCTGGCGCTGTTCTCAAGGAGGAACCGTACCACCTCCAGATGATTCTCCTGGGCGGCCATGTATAGAGGAGTGAAGCCATTCTGCACACAGCGTGGACAAAAACACACATACAGTACATGATATAACAGGTTAAGACTGAACTTTGCTGCTCCTTTGCTACATATAGATAAATGTTTCCTTATAGCCAGGTCTCTTAGAGTTGGTTGTATGTGTGTTTTTCACCAGCTGAGAATTGGGGGTGGTTTCCTCTAGTCTGCATATGAACTGCATCAGAAAAATATACTGAATTTTATGTAAACTGTCCCAGTATGTCTTAAATAATGACACTTCATTCTATCAATGACAAAACAAAACATTTAGGTAAAGTCTTTAAAGCCTTCTGTGTTGCTGTTACATCTTTGTTGGTTGTTTCAGCATTTGATAAGACCAGAGGAAGAGATGCTACTCAAAATCTTTCCTCTCAAATATAAAATTCAGAGACAGCAGGTTCCTTGCGAGGTAGAGACCTAGTTGGTATGATGCCCGACTGTGTCAGTGAGGCTTTTTCCATCTAGTGACTTCCTCAGTGTCACTGACTTCATGATACACTATCATCCAAGCAAATGTGTGAATCACAAAAGGGCAATTACATGTAAGATGTTTCAGACCAGCTGGATCTTACTGTCATTTTGACATGGTGTGTGTGCTGTATGTGTGTGTCAGTGTTGAGCATATCCCACCTGAGACTGTGCATTGACGTTGGCTCCATTAGTGACCAGCTCTTTGACAACTTCCGTTTGGCCAGCCAGCGAGGCTATGTGCAGAGCAGTGTTTCCTTTCTAGATTACAGGGAATAACCACAGGAATGTGTGTTAAGCTCTGCACCACCTGTCCCACCTTATTGCTTGTGTGTGTGTGACTGTTTGTCACTATAGTATCCATGTCAGTACTCATGTGCCCCAGTGAATCCCTTCATGCCAACCACACATTTGTACCGCTGGCATTCCTCTGGCACCCTCGTACCTGCTCTGCCAACAATGTGCCACATCCGATGCCTCACGTCGCACACATAAATGAGCTGCTGCTGAGCCTTGGTTATAAATAAAGTTACAGAGGACTTTGTGTGAGCCTGTACAGGTCCTTGTGAAGGTAAAGTCAGTCCCCAGCCTGTCTCCATGGAGCATGATCCTGGGCTCTGTTGTTTGTGACAATAGTGATCATCTGACACATGTACTGTCTACTGTAGCAGAGAAACCAGATAGCTACTTCGGCTGAAGCACAAGGCAGATTAATAAAGACACTGGTATATAGTTCAGCTAAAGACAAGAGCCTGTGTGCTTTACTGAGTTTAAAGGCTGCTCCAGAACACAAAAAACTAAGGCAAATTCTACTATTAGTTTACAATCTGAATCATAAATTGAAACCCACCATGCTTTATATTAGACACTGAAGGTCCACTGTGCAGACCCACGTTCTTGAACTGGTGATATTTTTGGACTGTTATCTTGACTGTGCTGTATTTTGTTTGTAAAATGATACATGTATGCCTATATGTATATAGGCATATCTATCTACAGGGTATCTTCAGATTTGCATTGATTCAATTCTGCTATAATGCTTAATAAATGTAAAGCAGTCCAGCAAAACACCACAAGCTACAGCCCCAGAAATGGCAGTTAAATCAACATTTCTCTGAGAGTCTCAACACTGTGAGCTTCACAAAGGTTGGATGTCTTACAAAAGCCTTAAAGGGCTAATGAAGTGAGAGCAAAGCTTTTGTTTAATTCTCCCCCAAAAAGGGCAGCACAACATTAGAGGGGAGGATAAACAATTAACTTTAGGATCAAACACACACACAGCTAAAGGAAACACTGTACTACTAAATCTGGGAATCCTCAATAGCACTGCCTCCCCGATTGTCTCCATCAGCTGCGTTAAATGGAAACTAATAGGCATTAGGGTGCAGGCAGTGGATTCCCAAGATCTAAAGCTAATCCCTCTGCATCCTCAGGGTCACAACAGAGAGAGGCTTTAATTGGGGAGAGTTTCTCCTTGATCTTGAATATTTCATTGTGTCTTGTGTTTATGTCTGAATGAGATGACCGAATGTGAGTGAAAGCCTTCTGGGCAGAAATCTGGATCATGTTTTCAGTGGCACTCCCTATTAACTCCTTACAGTATCAGAGTAAAGATGCTTCACAGGAAGAGAAACTCCTCTGATGTAATATCATACTATACAATAACACAAATACTGCAGCTGCTGCTTTTGGCTACTTAGTTTTTCATTACACACATTTCCAATAAATACATTTTACTGCTCAAATTTTACCATTTAATACTATTATTTACTTATATTTCCTCTAGCTTAACTATCTTATTGTTTTCAGCAGTGATACCCACAGGGATCATTAAATATTGAGCCAATATTAAACCCTAGCAAAGGTTGCACCTGGCAGTAGTCGTACTATAAATGCATGCTCTTTACTGCACCCATATTTTGTGCTGGATCCAAATATAGTCCTCCATAATGTCAGCTGAGCTATGATAGATGATAGGCCTTACCTTTGTGGCTGCATCAACAGTGGCTCCGAGCTTCAACAGCTCAGCAACAACCTCTACATGACCCTCTTTGGAGGCTAGATGAAGAGCGTTCAGACCATTCTGAGAAAGAAATACATTTAGTGGAGTTAATGTAGCTCATGCACAAAAAAATACTATTCTATGAGATGGTTTAATATCATAAAATATTTATATCCTTTTTGTTCAGTTACGCATGAGCCCTTGAGCCCTCAATTTGAAATTCAGCTGATGCAGCAGTGTATGGATATTTACATGTACAGAAGAAAAAATTAAAGAAACTATTTCAACCCCAAGCAGGACAGACAATTGCAGCATCTTAATAGCCATCCCAGCAAATGTACCTGGTTGCAAATGTTTATCTCAACCCCAGACTTGAGGTAGTCAAGGACCTTTTCAAGGTTCCCTGCCCGGGCTGCTCGAAGGTAACTGGCATTACTGTCAGACTGGTCAAAAGAAGACAGAGACAGTGAAAGACAAACAAAGGAAGACAAGAGAGAGAAAAAGGGAACATAAATGAATATGTCAAGCCACACACTGGACACATGCTTATCTGCAGTATCAAACAGTTAGTACAAATGCCAAAATGTTACTGTACCAGGAAGAACTCTGTCATAATTTCTCAGAACTCCACAAAACATTTTAACAGTGGAAGAAACTAAGCCAATGTCCAAACATTTTCCCACGAAAACCAATCTACAGGTCCACTGTTGTCTCAAATCAAGCCAATGCTAAAGCCCTAACATCTCAAAATGTACATCCATGAGAAAGCCAGCAGAGCCACAGCATATTATCCCAACAACTCCTGTCATTCTCCGTCACACATCTGGGTCCCAACTGAACTGTTTTTTCAGCTTTGTTAAATCCAAATGTCTCTGATTTCCAAAGTAAGGAAATTCAGCAGCTCGGGTGGTCCTTACAGTTGCCACTGAGACCTCCTCTCTTCCACAGAAATTTCTTCTGAATCCACTATAAAGCAGTTATGAGTCTATGTTGCTGTGCCACGAGAAGCAGAGCATCCTCTATTCTGCCTCGCTGTCCTTTATTTCACTACAGAAATAGGGCTTTGCTCACTAAAATAAAATGTTGAGGCAAGCATATTTTGCCCCATAACAAATGTGGTGCTCATGTGCATGAATGTGTGTGTGTGTGTGTGTGTGTGTGTGTGTGTAAGAGAGAGGAAGGAGGACAGGCTGAAGGATGAGAGTAGACCAAAAAGAAAAGATGGAGAAAGACAAAAAGAGAAGAGGGGAAGCCGTGTTTCTTTGTGAGCTCCTAGGACATCAGGTCTGACAGAAAATAAACAGCAAGCTCTGCACATTTTGTCTTCCTTCTTCACAGCAGCCTTGCAAAGAGCATTTTGTAACACTCAGCACCGTAGCTGCTGAGAGCAGGAGGGAGAAAAGCTGTAAACTAGAGGTGCAAAAACCAAATTCCCCTGAATTACCAAAAGCCCAGACCTGCTAAATTTAGCCCTGCGTCCAAAGACACTCAGGATAAACTCAGCAGAGCCAAACAGTATGACTGTTATTCAACAATGTACTCTCCACCTCCCCCTCCAACATGCTTTTCCAGAAATAACTCTGACGAACAGGGAGATTTGACCCAAAGCCAGAATGTGAGTGAACAAAACATCCAGCATCAGATTGTTCCACTGATAAGCTCTACAAAAGTGAACCGTGAGAAGAAAATATTAGCCTGTGTGTGGTCATGCACACATGTATAGACAAACCAAATAATGGCAGGTGAGGCTGTGTTAAGTGGAAACTAAGTTCTTTTCTGATTACAAAAGACCATAAATCCAAAGGTCATACATGTGCAGCCAATCAGCACCAATGTAGAAATGTCTTCTTCCTTTTTCCATACCCAAACCCCAAAGAACTCTTTGATAGCACTCATGATGTTTCTGCTCTTCTGGCTTTGCAAAATATTGTGACATAACAGACTGTCAGAGAGTCTGAACCAGAATCTGAATATGAGCAATGGGTCTGGAACAATTAATGTTACAGAGAATATGCAGCCATTAGCCTGTAATTAATAAATGCATATGGAGAAGTAACATTATAAAAGTGTAAAAGATTTAAAAGCTTACAAAGAAGCTTATGATGAACTTTGAAAACTCTGGATTCTGTAAGCAGTAAAGCAAGAATACCTGATAGCAGCTGCATGAAATCACTGCTGCACAGGACAGTGAAATAGGCTACTGACTGTGGAAACTCGAACATCCGATGCAGTGGTGTGAATCTCCTGTTGCCTAAATATAAAAGGTTTTAGAAACAGTGTAGATATACATATGACCACTCTCTGCATCACAGTTCATTTGCTTGTGTGCCAGACTGTGTTATATTTCTATTATTATGGATGTTAAATGGAAGGAAAGATATTTTTCATTTGAGCAGCGATGAATAAAACTGTTCAAGCAGCTGCAATTCAAAAACATGCCAGTAAATCAAAAGAGATGCTATAATAACACAATTAATGATCTAAATGTCTGATTCTACATCATAATTCAGCACGATAGAACTACTGTAACAAAGACCTCTACTTTCCCAGACTGAGGTTTTCTACTTGTTAGTCTTGGACACTGACTCCAAGAGTCAGTGTCCTTTGTGATGACCTGCGAGAAACTGGCTCCCAGCCAGTGTAAACCCAGCCAGCAGTCATTCAGTGTCCCAGCTCAACACCGTCACTGAAATAAACTCCTTGCACCTTTTCTCTGATACTTCTTCTCTCTGCTACGTTATGTCTACAAGTCACATGTTATCAATATGATTCATAGTGGCTGTTGTTTACAAGTTGTGCCTTGCAGGAGTGGAAACAATGTCTTTGTGATTATAACCCCTTTGTGCAAGTATGTTTTCTAAACTGGCCAAGAAACTAAAGTGCCCTGTTTACTGCTACCAATTTTTTAAAGGTCTTTCAAAAATAAAAATCTATTTAAACAAGTCCATAAACAGTTTTCAATGCCAATATAAGACTTGTTTCAGCTCAACAGAGCTGACAACATTTGTTGTTTTTAAATTTGCACAATGAATAATTTTATTAGACTTTCTGCAAAACTTTAAATACCTGAAAGAGTTTATGCCCAACTTCAGCTTCAAGATGATCTTAATAAAGGATATCAACATCAGTCCTAGTTTCATCATGACTCATTCGAGGCTTTCCACATAATACAATATCTATGTAGCGAGTGTGTGTGTGTCTGTGTGCACGTCTGCATGCCAGTACACATCCCAACAGCTGTACCTTACATAACCAGCTTGTGGAAAGCTCTCACTTTAGGAGAAGATATACTACATCTCTAAAAAAAATAGAGGTCTGGCAACATTTTGAAAGTTTTTGTTTTTTCTAAAAGGTTATTATTTTGCAGTAAACTTGTAAATATGCCCTCCTTGCAATTCCTAATGCATCTGCCAAAGCTCAAATGTCAACAAATGAAGCAATCTTCATCCAAAAATCACTATTCTTTGCTCTCATCAGTTTATCCCCTTAATGCCTGCAGTGAAATCCAGTGACCAACATATCCAACCCGCCCTAAACATCCCATCTACGTCTAACATGAGGGATATTGAAGTCTGTGTGAATGAAGTGTTACACAGGATAGGGCAAGAGATTAGTAAGAGAAATATCATTAAGCTTCTACAGATCAGAGGTTCAAAGAAATGAGGCCATTAAAGACTAGGTTAAGCCTGAAGGAAAGCATTAATCTAATGTTGGATAGAAGGGAGAGGATGAGAGGGAGAGAGAGAGAGAATCAGACATAGACGTGATAACCAGAAGAGGATGTGAATTATAACATCAATCCCATTAACACTCAAATAAAGTTAAAAAAAATCTGCTAATTTCTGGGAATGCTGCCGTAAAAATGACAATTACCCATCTCAGCTGCAATTAAAAATGCCCTCTGGTAACCAACTCATGTCTGCAGATGCTCTTTAAACGGGAGAGGAAAGATTGTAACACTACATAACAGTGAAGCCTCATTAGTGACAGTTAAAGGGCCAAAATATATACTTTTGAGCTGATTACTGCAGCTATTTCTTATTGTCAAGAGTCAGACATTACAATCGAAATCTTTGAGCAAAAATATTCAATTTCAGTCTGTTACACCAACAAAAGGCAAACCCTGTAATATAGCCCATGATTTAAAGGTTCTATATTTCCCCTGAAGGATTCCCATAATGTGTACATGTGCAGAGACAAACCTTCATTGGTCATGCAGTGAACTTTGTAACAGTGACATTTTTCATAAATGACCTCTGTTTTGCAGTATCTTATTTATTATATGCTGATCTATGGTAAGCTATTGGTATATCAGCCTGGTCAGTTTAACAATGTACAGCAACATTTCGTCACTTATGGTCTCAGCACTGACCATCGTTGAGCAGTGTAACACAAGTTTTGTACAAAAACATGTCCTTAGCTACTTTTACCATCCCAGTAGCTAATTAATGAGGAGTTTCTTCTCTTTGTTTCTAGTTTGGGAAAAGTTTTAAGTTGGAAGTTGGATGACAATTCAGTGCTATATACTAATTTTAACTCAAATTCCAAAGTTGAAGTTTGATATCCAGCAGCACACATTTTGTATCATTTCCTTTTAGGTCAGATGGGTAAGTTATATTGATTTCTTGTATATTAACTGCAAAACACAATATACTGTATAACATACTGCATACAGGTAGTATGCAGTGGAACTGGGACACAAGCTCTGTCATGATATAGGTTTTTGGGTGGTTTACATCATTCCTTCAGTTTAAGTGTGGTGATTCATGATACTTTAGAGCTGCAGAGGATTAACTTTCATTTCAGCTGAATGTAGATTTGGCACTTCTCCTCATGTCATCAATACAGGCAGATGATATTTAGTTGTACAAAGAGTGATATCCCCAGGCTGCCAGACAGATGATGTCAGTTTAGCTCTCTGCACTAAACATTTAACAAAAGTGAAGCTCACACAGAGCACATAGCATTTTGCATGGCAGAATATGTAAACATATTAAGTGTCTGCACACACTTTTGTGCATTCTTCACTTCAAGCACATGTAGGTAAAAGTATGCACACACAAACACAGACATACAGGGAATATTGATGTAATTGCTGTAAGCTCTGGGTGAACTGAGCTAGCTCAGAAGAGAAGAGCCAAACCAGCAGCAGCTGCATTGTTTCACTTTGTCCCCTGCTCTCCTGACAGCACAAACACTCAGCGCTCCACAGCTCTATGAGCCACAACGCTAGGGACACCCATTGGCAGGCTACAACACCCAGCAGTGCCAAAGAGCCTCACCCCACCAATCATCACACCTCTCTTCCTCTCAATGCTAAATATGCAAATCTACAAGATTATAACTAAATTTCAAAAATATGCTTTATTCACTTTCCTGCTATGCAGAGACTGATACCACTCATGTCTGTACACAAATTATGATCTTACCACCAGGAGATGGT